CACCTGCTCCGGTTCCTCCCGGCCCTGACCCCGCCTGTGTCAGGTTTCCCCTGGAAAAGGAACCTTTTCATTCCCTGTCAGCTCCAGACGTGGAAAAGAGAATTTTCCTGTGATTCAGTACAAATTCCATAAAAACCTGCCCATTCTGGGTCAGCCGGCAGAGATGGGAAAGGTCAGGGAGCATTTCCTTGGGTTTGTTGGGAAGAGGAACATCCTCTGGAGCCTGAGGAGGCCTGAGGAGAAATGAGATCTGGCTCTGGGATGGGGCTGGGATGGGAGAGGGATTTTTCCGTGCCTTGAGTCTTCTCCTGGAGCCTGGAATGGGGAGGAAGATGAGGCAGCAATTCCCGACCTCCAGCTCCGCTTCCCAACTCTCAGCCCTTTCCAAAGTGTTATTTCTCCTTTTGGAAAGGGGAAAATGGAGGGGTGGGCTCTGGATTATTGGAGGATTATCCCCGAAATCACAAATAATTCCAGTGGGGCAAGAAATGAAGCTGGGAATGATTCAGCGCTGGGAGGATGAAAAGGTCAGGCTGATTCCAGAGTTCAGGAAGACCCTCTGGAAGCAGAAAAAGAACTTGAGGTGATCCTGATCCATGAAGAAAATTGGGATTCTAGTGGATGAGCCAAACCCTGGATGGAGAAGGAGCTGGAAGAGAGGGTGGTCTCAATCCCGAGGATTTTTATGTGCATTTTCAGGGATTTTATGTTCATTTCCAGGGATTTCATGTTAATTCTCAGTGTTTTTATGTGCATTTCCAGGATTTTTAAGTGCATTTTCAGGTCCCTACCACCTAAACCTGACCAATCTGTTCCTCTTCATTTTTATCTTTCTTTGGGAAGGTGGAGGAAGAGAAAAAGACAGGAAGGAGAAAGATTGGAACTTCTTTAGGAAAGCGGGGGAAAAAGCAAAATAACATCAGGAAGAGACATCGCTGCAACAAAATCCAAGGAAAAGGAACATCCACGAGGCAGGAAAGTGAATCCTGCACTTGGATCCCTCGGGAAAACCTTCCCTGGGAAGCTGTTCCTGCTTGGAATGTGCAGAGACAAAGCAGGACCTGTTGAGAGCCCTCAGTGTGGAGATTCAGGAGCTGCTGCTGCTCCCAAAAAGCTTTTTTTTTGGGATGAGTCTGGGGCTGGCTGCACCCCCTGATCGGCCATTCCCGCATTCCCGAGCTGGGAAAAGGCTCTCGCGCTGCTCGGAATGTGGGAAATGCGTGTTAGATGTAGGAAAACCAGAATTTTCCAAGTCTGTGAGAAGCGGGAATCCTTCCCTGGGTGACCTGGAATTGTGTTGGGGCGATGCAGGGCGGCGCTGGGATAACCGGGATCGGGTTTTCCATGGAAGCGGCGGGAGGAGGAGGAGGAGCTGTCCCTGGTGCTGGAAAAGGTCTCTCCCTGCTCCCACGTTTTGGGAATAGCGAGGAGGGCAAAGCCAGCAGAAGGCTCCATGCAGAACATGCACAGCTCGAATTCCCGCTCAACCCTTCCAATGGACACCGGGAATGGGAGGAATCTCCTGGATCGAAGCCCTGGGAGAGCTACGGGGAATCCCCAAAAAAATCCCAAATCTCCAGCCGCGATCCCACAGGTGCTGGAAGGGCCCCACGGAGCCAGAAATGTTTTGCGGGGTAGGGAAGGCGAGGGTTAAAAAGGGAGAGGGGTTTGTGCAGAGCTGGGATTAAAAATCCTCTGTGAGAGGGGGAAAAGCTCTTTAATAGGGAAAAAATTCTTTAAAAGGGAAAACTCCCTCCTTAATAGGGAAAAAACCCCTCTAAAATAGGGGGGGAAAGTCTTCTTTAATAGGGGGAAACCCCTCTTTAATAGGGGAAAAACCCCATTTCTTTTATGAGGGAAAAATGTCTTTAATAGAGGGAAACAAAGTCTTTAATAGGGAAAAATCCTCTTTCATTTGGGAAAAAAAGTCGCCTCTCAATTGGGGAAAAAGCCCCCTCTAAAATAGGAGAAAAAACCCTCACTAAGAGAAGAAAAAGCCCTGTTTAATCGGGGTAAAAATAATTTATTAGGGAAAAAAGCCTCTATAATAGGGGAAACCCCACTTTAATAGGGAAAAAACCCTCTTTAATATTGAAAAAAAACCCTTTAATAGGCAAAATCCCCCCTCTTCAGTATGGGAAAACAACCCCTCTAAAATAGGGGGAAAACCCTCTTTAATGGGGAAAATTTCTATAATAGGGGGAAATATCCTTGCTAAAATAGGGGGAAAAAACTGTTAAAATAGGAAAAATAACCCTCTTTAACAGGGAAAAAATCCATTTTAATATTGAAAAGAATGTTTAATAGGAAAAAAAAAAAATCTGTTTGTCAGGGGAAAACCCTCTTTAATGGGGGAAAAAAAATCCCTTTTTAATAGGGAAAATAAACCCTTTTTAACAGGGAAAAAACGCCTTTTTAAAAGGGAAAAAAAACCCCACCTCTTTAATAGGGAAAGGAACCCTCTTTAATAGGGAAAAAAACCATCTTTAACAGGAAAAAAACACATTTTAATAGGAACTCGACTCTCCTTTGGGCTCGCCCAACCCGTGGCCACCGTGGTTTGGTTTTCATAAGATTTTGAGAGGCTTTTAAGCCTGGCTTAGAGACCTTTTAATCTTCGCCTGCCCCGCTGTGGAACCGCCCTGGTCCCCTTTGTGCCTGTAATGATTGAAGTGCCCAATTGGCGTGGCCATTGGAAGGGTTTTAATGAACTTTTCGGCTTAATTGGCAGCTTAATTGGCAAGCTCCGTTGCCCCCATGCCGGTTACCTCTGGGTACGGTACCTGGGCTTGGTGTGGCTTCGGAGGCAGCACCAGGGATAGAGAGAGAGAGAGGGAAAAACAGGAAAATGGAGAGAAAGAGGAAAGAGAAAAACACAGGAATTTATCAAACAACCCCAACGCGCCGCCAGGACACTCGGAGTCATCGGAGAGCGGAGAGGGAGGGGAGAAATGTGATTAAATCCAACCTGCGACAGCCTCTGGAATCCAGGAATCCGGGTTAAACCAGGAATCAGGGATAAACCACACCAGAGTCTGGGATAAACCACACCTGGATCCAGATTAAGCACCCAAGAGGAGCCAGGGGTGGCACTGAGGTGACAGCGGTGGCATCGAGGTGACAATGGTGCCGTCAAACCGAGGACTTAAGTGGGTGTTTAGGTCTAATCCCAACAAAATCCGGTTTTGACACCAAATTTCACCCGGGTTTTTCCTTGCTCGTCCCACCTGATTTAAACTCTGCATGGTGAGCAGAAAACCTCCTCGGAGCACGTTAATGGGTTGAATTTCCTTAATCTGCTTCTTTTCCTTAAATTCCAGCCTCGTCTTCCCCTCAGCTTGGCAGGAAGTCACATCAAAGCGAGCAAAACTCACCTATTTCCTCTTGCACCCCCTGTTCAGAGGGCAAGTTCCTGCTACATGTGAGTAAATTACACAAATTTGATAATTTTTTGATTTTTGATGGCCAAACTTCATCTTTTTGGTGGCACCCAGTGCCACATCCTCACCCCAAACCCCGCAGGGAGGATTCCTTATCTTGTCCAGCAGGTTTGGGCACCACCTGATATTTCCAATACATAAAACTGATCCAAATAGATTAAAATTTCTACACCACGACTGTTATCTCGCTATTATCAGCCTCCAAAATTTGGGTGTGAACCAGCTAAAAATATTCCATTTTCAACTTCAATCCAATCCCTGAGTTCTCAAAATTCCTTTTAAAGCAATTCCAGGCCTCTCTTATGTTTTCCTTGGCTGTTTTTTCTCCCCCACATCCAATAAATTTTGCTGGATCCCACCCCAGGGGTGTCAGGAATGGTTTTATTCCCACTGGATCCGGGCAGGAATCGCTTTCCCCACTCAGAGCCATTAGCTGGGATGAGGGAAGGAGAGAAAACCCATTAAATTCCAGCTCTAACCCAATCCCAGCTCTGGCAGCCGAGCTTAAGAAGGGGAGAGAGCCGCCCTTGGTTCCCTCGGGGCTCCAGAACTTCCACTTAAATTTGATGGATGTTCCACAACGGGAGTTTTATCTGATTATTGGGGCCAAGATTGGGGCTCTGGAGGCTTTTAGGGTCGGGTGATGCCCATGGGGTGGCAGGGAGGTGGCACCAGGAGTTTTATCTGATTATGGGGTTGAAATTAGGGGTCTGGAAGCTTTTAGGGTCAGGTGACACCTGTGGGGTGACAGGGAGGTGGCACCAGGAGTTTTATCTGATTATGGGGCTGAAATTGGGGCTCTGGAAGCTTTTAGGGTCGGGTGATGTCCATGGGGTGACAGGGAGGTGGCACCGAGGTCCCTACATCCAAAAGTCCCTCAAAGCTGCCTCTGTTGAGCTCACACAGAAACAGAGGGACAAATCAGAGCTTCATCCTTGGCACAAAGAGAGCGCGATCCCAAAATCATGGATTGGATCGGGTTGGAAAGGACCTGAAATCTCATCCAGTCCCACCCAGGGACACTTCCACCATCCCAGGTGGCTCCAAGCTGACCTTGGACACTTCCAGGGATGCAGCAGCATCCACAACCTCTCTGTGCCCGTGCTTCCAAACCCTCCAAGGGAGGAATTCCTTCCGGAATCCCATCTCACTCTGCCCTCTCTTGGCATAAAACATAAATTCAGCAAATATCCTCCTGCTCCAGGGCACACGAGGAATGCCCCACCCTGGGGGACAGCCAGGGGCTTCCCTGGAGCACAGGAGAGCCCCCCGGTCACCTCAGCTGGGTTTTTATTGCCACCTTTGGCCACCTCCACCTCAGTGGCCGTTGCACTCCTGGTTTTTTGGATTCCCTGGTTCCATTTTTGGGCTGTTCCCTGGCCCCTCACGATGCCATTTTCGGATTTGCCACAGCCTGCCACGATGCCACTTTTGGGGGTTGCCACATCCTGTCACAATGCCATTTCTGGGCTGTTCCATGGTGTGCCACCATGCCATTTTTTGGGTTTGACACATCCTGTCCCACTCCATCCCCTCGGCAGAGCCGGGTGCTGCTCTTACCTTCATCCAGCAGCGCAGGCGACTCCTCCGCCAGGGCCTCTCCCTCTCCCACCTGGGTGCGGGCGCGGAGCACGAAGCGATAGCGGGAGATGGGGTCTGACCTCTGCAGGGTGAACCTCGTCTGGTTGGGGGACAGGTTCTCCACCACTGTCTGGCCCTTCCTGGTCCCGTTAACTGCAGAGGGAAGGCAAGGCAGGCTGGGCCAGGAATTCCTGGGGTGTCCAGCTCATCCCTAACCCCCTGGAGGGTCTGTGAGGTCACTGGGGGGTCACTGTGGGGCCATTGCGAGGCTCAGAGCTCTGCTGCTCTTGAACGCGGCTGGGTTGGGGCACTTGGTGACACCCTGGCTTGGGGACCTGCTGGGGGGGAACCTTTGGGTGCTTTCTACTGCCCCAGGCCCTGGGGTATCACTTCCTAAATCTTGAGTTTGGATGAGCACAAAAACTACTCTGGCTGCACCCAAAATCTTCCCAAATCCAAGATCCAGCTGATTTTCCCTCCAAAGCTGAGTCTGAGGAGCTGCTGAGCACCCACCACCCCTCCCCTCCCTCCCACAGATGTCCAGAACCCTCCCCAACACCAGTTTTCCCACTGTGGAAGTCTCCAGTTCCTCACGGATCTCCCTGCCCTGGCAAAAAGCGGGAAGGGAAGGATTTCCTGATTTATCACCGGGAAGAAGACGTGGGACGTACAGGGCTGGTATCGGAGGGTGTATCCCGTGATGATCCCGTTGGGATGCTCGGGGTGATCCCACTCCAGGTTGATGAGTTCCAGGTTGGGCTGTCGGATCCGCAGGTACCTGGGGGAGCTGGGCACTTGGAGGGGAGCGGGGAGGAGAGGGGAGGGAGGAGAAAACACACACGGGGTAACGAACCTCGCACTGCTGCACCCGCCACGGGCTGGGCCACGCCCTGGAGACCCCGAAATTCCTGCACAGAAACACCCGGAATGGATCGCACCAGGATTTATCCCAAAAACCCTGAGCCAGGTGGGGTTTTCAGCAGGGAGGAAAAGCAGAGCATCTCTGGCGTGATCCAAATCCCGTGGGATCCTCCAGAGAGGCCACAGAAGCTGGAATGCAGCTCCAGCTCCATCTCTCCTGTTGGACCCAAACTTCCTGGCCTTCCTTACACACCCTGCCCATCCCAATGTTTTCATCCCCAAAATTTCTCCCTTAGAAACACAAAATATCCCAAAAACTTCTCTTAACTTCAGCCCTACTTCTGTTGGACCCAAATTTCCTGACCTTCCTTACACCCAGCTCCCATCCCAAGGTTTTCATCCCAAAGATTCCTCTCTTTGAACCCCTAAAAGTGGCTTCTCTTATCCCAAAAAATCACTGGGAAATGGAATTCCAGAGATCTCCCCCCAAGGAGTTGCTGCCCACTGCTCCTTGCCCTAAGGAATGTTTGGGATTATCGCTGCTTTGACTACTGAAGGAAGGAAAGAATTATCCAGCCTGGAGTTAAATTATTCTCCTGATTTCCTCCTAATTGCACTGTCTTAATTGGGGGAAGAGAGATGGGAGAGCTCAGGGATTTATTTTTAGTTGTTCAGGATATCCTTCAGCCTCCACAATGTCAGTTTGAGTCGATAAAAGGGCTCGGTGGTGTAGGAAAAATTAAAATCCACATTTTCCCAATGATAAGAGTGAAATCCAGTGTAATTATTAATTAGCGCTACCCACATGTCCTTATCACCCCAAATGTCCAAAGCCAGCATAAATCCCCCAGAAATAGAGTCACAATGCCCCTGCCTGCAAAACCTACAGGAATTGAACCCTCTCCTCTGAAACAACCTCAATTATCCACAGAAAATCTTTTAAAATGGGGATTTTTCCAAGGAATTGTGAAGGAACAGGCAGCGCTGAAAGACATTGGGGTGGGATGGGGAGGAAGAGAAAAGCGGAGACCCCAAAATATTTTGAGACAAGACTTTCAAATCCTTTCCTGCATTTTTGTGACCTTCTGTGCCTGAGTTCCCTCCTGCGCTGTAGGAAAAGTCACTTCCAGCTGTTGGAATTGCGGCTCCAACTCGGAATTATCGGCGTGTCTATAAATAGCTCCTGTGCCAGCGACAAAATTAAACCCTTGAGTTCATCCTTGACAGAAGAACGAGGTGCTCTTGCCTTAAAAGCCTGGAGGAGGAATTGGTGATTCCTGAAGGTCCTGGGAAGGTTTTCCTGCCCTTTCCGGGATGGATCCAAGAGCTGCCACGTCCCCAAACCGTGGCTCAGGGACATTTAGAGCTCAGGCAGCAAATCAAGGGCACGGAGCTGTGCTTAGGAAAGGGTTTTGCAAATATTTCTCTTGTTCAGCCCAAAAATCCTCTTGGCTGAGATGTCCAGAGCACCTGACAGGGATTTTTGGGAATGCTGAAGGGGTCAGGAGCCAAATCCAGCTGTGCCTTCAACGGCGTCACCGACAGCGACAGCACCCAGGTTGACGCTCAGCTAAAATCCCTCCTCAGCCGCGGCTCAGCTCCCTTGGATCTGCTCCACCCAAACCTCTCCCAGTGGGAAAAAATTCCCAGTGGGAACATACCTCCTTCAGGGGTGGGGAATTCCTTCAGTTCGCTGCGGGGCCCGTCCCCTCGGCCGTTGGTGACCACCATCTCCAGCTTGTAGTTGCTGTAGGGGAACAGCCGGGACACGGTGCCCCGGTTGCGGTCTCCAGGAAAACTTACAAACTGCCGTTTTCTGGAGACCCAAAGGTTCTTCAGCAAGCTGCTCTCTCTCCAGAAATAGGCCTTCAAGAAACAGGCAGGCCAGGTGAAGCTTTTTCCCGTTTAATCACGGTTTTTTTTGGGTTTTTAGATGTTAAAAAGCAGAATTTTGCCTTTAAGGGCGGCTCGAGGTTGTGGAAGTTTTTAGAGGAATTAGTGAAGCTCCTTGAGGAAAATCAGGGGTGTTACCTGAGGAAGAGGCTGAGCAGGGAGTTAAGAGCTTCTCAAAATACAGAATAAAACCACTGGGCTCAGACTAGAGCTGTTCCTAATTCCCAAGGATTAAAATCCGAGTGATTCTCCTTTTCCACTCGGAGCAGTGGCGGACAAGGAAAAGTGGGGCACACCCAGGCACAAATAAAAGCCAGAATTTGGGAAATCTCCCATTTGAGCTCCTGAGTGTGAATCCTATTTCATTCAGAAGCAAGAATCCATTCAGAAAATCCCCCAGAATCAGGAAAAGTAGAGCCAGCAGATGATCGGCTTGGGAATGTTGGGATTCTTTGCCGGACATGAGGTTTTGGGAATGTTTTAATGCCTGGGGAAGGGCCCTGCTCAGGGTTTGGCTTGGTTTGAACGGCTCCATCCTCTGTGCATCAGCAGCAAGTATTAAATATTAGATATAAATCCAGAAAGACAGATAAATATGAAATATAAACCTGGAAAGACCCGGAAAAACAGGGAACCACGCTGGTTTAGCGCCCAGTTAGTCCTGACTGCGGGTTTAAGCTTTGCAGGGGTTGTTGATCAGTAAAAAATGCTGTCAGTATTTTGGGGATGACACAAAACCTGACCTGGCTGGAGTCACTCTCTCAGAGCCCCTTTGCTTGGTGGTCAGGACCATCCCAATCCCTCCCAGTGTTCGTGGGACATCCCAAATCCTGCAGCCAAGCCCAGAGGAAGCAACAGGAGATGTCCCCAACCTCACTCCAACACCCCAAAGAGCAAATCCTTGGTGTTGCCCCAAACCCAACGGCTCCTGGCGAGCAGAGGAAGTTTTCTGTCATCCCCACATCCAGCAGCTCCATCCCTGGGAGCCAGCTGGGAATTTTGGGAGGTTTAGCTGTGTTAACGGTCAGTGCTGGGCGGGGATTTGGGATTGGGGAATTTGGGATTTGCTCACTCGGTACTCCTTGAGCTGTCCCTGGATGGTGTCCAGGTGCACCCGGGTCCAGGTCAGAGCTATGGCAGTGCTGTTTAAGACTCTGATCCTGACATCCGTGGGCGCAGCCTTGGGATCTGGGTGGGCAGGGATAAAGCGGAGTGGCTGTTAAGAGCCTGGAATGACCCTGGAGCTCGGACAGCTGGACAGCTGGACACCCTCTGCTGTGCTTTTCCCAAATCCCGTGAGCAGCAGCCCCACAATGTGTCCACCCTCTTCCGTGGAAAGAAAAGAAAATGTGATTTCGCTCCTCCAGCCATCAGGAGAACATTCCTGATCCAGCTAAAAGCGGAAATTCTTGCTGCAGGGAAGGGTCTGGCTCACCTCCCTGTCCAGGTGAGGGATCCCAGCACATCCAACCCTTTCCTGCCTCACCTGTCCAAAAGCTGGACCTCAAAGTTCCGAAAAAAACCTCATTTCCATATTTTTAATTGGAATTTGATCAGTTTGCTTTTGATCCAGTTTTAGGTAAATGACTTCTCCTCCTTTCTACAGCTTCTGCTCTGTGGAGAGAACTGGAGCGAAGCAGCTCAGATCTGACAATTTTTGGGACAGTTTTTGTGGATTTGGGGGATTTTTAACCCGTCCCACCCCTCAGAGGCAGGAGGAACCTTGATCTCCTTGCTTTGCCTCCATACAACACAGGCACTTGGAAGCTCATCCAGATCCTCTCACAGCCCTGGTGGCCACGGGCAGGAGCATCTCCCACAGCCCTGGTGGCCAAGGACAGGGACACCTCCCACAGCCCTGGTGGCCATGGATGGCGACAACTTCCACAGCTCTGGTGGCCATGGATGGTGACAACTTCCATAGCCCTGGTGGCCATGGACAGAGACACCTCCCACAGCCCTGGTGGCCATGGACAGGGACACCTTCCACTGCCCAGGATCTCCATTGCTTGTCCAAACTCAAAGTGGATTTTTGTCCCAAATCCTGCAGTGCCCCGCCCACATCCTGGGCGTACCTTGCCCTTGGATGGGATCATCCCCAAAACCCCACCTGCAGCTGAGGGAATACTCACAATCCTCCCCGGAGTATCCGATGTAGGTGTCAGGCTCCGGGGCTCTGCCAAAGTCGTTCTCAGCCTGCACCTTGATCTCGTAGGGGACGTAGATGGGGGTGTTCCACACCACGTGCCGCGCGCTCCGCACGGTCTCGTTGTACCAGCTCCCGCGGGGGTCCCGCCGCCGCCACCTCACGATGTACCTGAGGTTGGGCCCATAAGCCTGAGTTGCATTCAGAGGCTTCAGTGGAGCGAAACAGAGAAGGGGAAAGTGAGAAGGAGGGAAAAAAACCCCAAAAACGAACAATTGGATTTCTCCGCCAAGGAGATCCAGAGGTTCTGCTCAGCAGTGGGGTCTTATTCCAGGCTCCATCAGCAAATCCCAAAGGAAGGCAAGGTTTTGTCCCCAAGGAGAGTTCTTGTCCTTCAGAGAGGACAATTTTATTCACAAAATCCTGGATTTTATTCCTGGAATGATTTGGCTTGAAAGGGATTTAAATTCCAAGCTCCTTCCATGGGCAGGGACACTTCCACTAGCCCAGATTCCTTATCTACATATTATATAAAATAAATCAAAGATGTGCAAAATATAGAATTATATTCCATTATATCCTATATATAGAATTATATATTCCATTTATATTATATAAATATTCCATAATCTACAATCTCCGTATTCCAGTCTCTATTCCCGCTGCCATTCCAACCCTCCTCACAGCTCATCCCTGATTTGTGGCTGACACCTGCTGGTGCAGGGAGCAAAGCAGGAGCGGCTCCAGAAATCCCCTGAGCTGCTCAAGGATTTGGCTTCGGGGCATGCTCAGGAAGCAGAGTCTGGAATTCGGCATCTTTGGGTGTCACGTCTTTGACTTACTTGATTTTGAATTTTTATTATGATTCTTTTTATCACAGCACTAAAAACGGCCTTTCCTGTACCTTCTGCTTTGTATTTCATGGAATCCTGGAATGGGTTGGGTTGGAGGGGGACCTGAAATCCCATTCCATTCCACCCCCATGAGCAGGGACACTTTCCATGATCCCAGGTTGCTTCAACCTGGCTTTGCACACTCCCAGGGATGGGGCAGCCATGGGTTTTCTGGGAATTCCATCCCAGCCCCTCCCCACCCTCCCAGGGAAGGATTTATCCCCAACATCCCGTCTATCCCTGACCTCTGGCACTCTGAACCCATTCCCCCTCATCCTGCAACTCCATCCCAAAAGGCATCCAAGAAGAACTCACGGTCCACGTTATTTCCATGTTGTTTTTTTGGGTCCCTGCCCCTTGAACTCCCGTTGGATTTACTTCGGGACCTGAAATTCACATTAAAAACCAAAGCAATGCATTTTTCAATGTCAAAAAAACAACCACTGAGCGGTTAAAACCCTGCAAGCCGAAAATCCTTCCAAGACCCAAGTTAATGGCCTGATTTTTCCAGAAGTTCCCATTCAGGTTAATGGGACACGAGACTCTCAGTCCTCTGGAAAACCAGGCCATTTATTTAGGAGGCTCTTTTTTGTTCCCTAAATGTCCTAAATCTTTGAAAGGAAACCATTGTGGAGGGAGCAGAGTTTTGTCACTTCAAGCCTGAAACGCGGCGGGCACCGTTGGGAGCCAACACTAGATGCCAGCAGATCCTCCAAAAAAATCTCCCCGGAATGGGTAAAGGAAGAAATGCAGCAGAGCTGCTGCGATTCCTGTGAATTCCTAGCCTGGAATTTTCCCAAATATTCTCCGACAAAGCAGACAAACTCAGGTCTTGGTTGTGGATTGGAGCTTGTTTGGCTCTTTTGTCACGGAATTTGGGTGGGAAAGGATCTTAAAATCACCCAAGTCCACCCCCTGCCTCAGGCAGGGACACCTTTCCCTATTCCAGGCTGCTCCAAGCTCCATCAAACCTGGCCTTGGACACTTCCAGGGATGGGGCAGCCACATTTTTTCTGGATAATCAGTTCCAGGACCTCACCACCCCCACAGCATCCACCAGCTTCAACAGCGGCCAATTATTAACAATATTTGCACTTGAATCTGATTTTCCTACAGATTTCCGAGCTTCCTGTAGTCTGAAAGGACTGGAAGAATTCCTTTAGGAATCTTCCCTTTAAGGAAAAGAATGAAAACCAGGTTTTTTTATAATAAACGAGTGACTTCTACATAAATCTGCTTCCCTGAAGGACATCACCCACAGGCTTGAGAACTCCACACAGAAAATTCCACCGCTGCCCTTGCCAGCCTATTCCTGGGATGGAGGGAAGAGCCTCCATGGAGAGTGGTGGACCCCAAGGACAAAAGGTCTGGGAAGAACTCACGTGCCCCGTTGGTCTGGTAGCGCTCGGAGGGCAGGCTGGGCACGCTGCTGCCCACGTCGTTGACGGCGATCACCCGGAACTGGTAATTCACGTACGGGGACAGGCTCAGCAGGGCCGTGTTGACGCTCCCGGGATACCTGGAGTGGTTGTGCCACACTCCCGGCTGGAAGCGGTCCTCCTCAAACTGGACAATGTAGTCTGGGAAGAGTGGGAAGGGGTGGGTGAAGGGTTTGGATGGGAAGGGATTTTCCGTCGCTGGGAAGAGGGAGGGGGACGGGGATTCTGGGGACAGGGGACAGACCTGTGATGGGGCTGTTGTTGTCATCGCCAGGGATCCACGTCAGCCGCACGCTCCTCTCGGCCAGATCCGACAGCTCCAAGTCCCGGGGCCGGTCAGGTCGTTCTGTTGGAATGGGATAAATGAGGCTGGAATTGTCCCAGGAGCAAGTCCCAGTTCCCATCACCTCTCCCAGCCCTGTGGGCAGGACATGCTCCAGGGCACAATCCACGTCCTGCAGCTCTTTAGCTCTTAGAACTCACCAGAGTGATTTTTAAAATACAAATGTGGTAATTTCTGACAGTGTCTTGCCTGGAAATCCTGCCTTTCCCAGGAAAAATCCTGCCTTTCCAGGAAAAATCCTGCCTTTCCCAAAAAAAAGTGATGGGGGAAGCACCAGGTGCTGGTTTAGGAGGATTTGTGACCTTACACAGAGAAATACAAATGAACAGCAGGGAAAGGACACAAAACCTCAGTGGAAACATAAATTTGATAGAAATTCCCTGGTTTTTTTTAATGTGGTCACAAGCACCAGCTCGTGCAATAACGGGAATGAATTCCAGGTAAAAATGAAGGGATTCCATGCAGGTTGTTGTTTTTGTTTCCCATCAGGATTTTCAAGTACAGTTCAAGCGATTGCTGCACTCAGGAACTGCCACCGTGGCACACAAAATGTGGCGGAACAGGAGCTTTCTACCCATGGATGGGTTTTCAAGGACAATTTGGACTGCGCTTGGAAAAATCAGCTCCATCGAGGACAACTTGGAGAGGATTTGGAGCTTCAGCTCCTTCAAGGACAACTTGGAACCATCATCCCCCAGTTTTTCCAGCTGCCCCCCTTTTCTCTTGGAATTGCTGGTGAGGGAAAACCAAAACCAAGGTGGAAAAATAAAAGGAAGGCGAGGAATTAGTGACGATTACCTTTGGGTAAATCTCTCAACCGATTAGCGGGGACGGCTGCAAGGTAAGACAGTGCTTGTTAACCGGGTTAGTTTAAGCTTGGGTGGCCAAAGGAGAACCTGGCAAACATAAAGTTCCAGATTTCAGCGGGAATTAATCCAGTTTGGGAAGCAGAGCAGGAATATCCTTCCCCCAGAGACCTCCATGCTTTACCCACACTTGTAGCTGACAGCAAAAGGGAAATATCAGCCTGATGTGGGGTTAATGAGCCATTAGGGGAAAGGAGGGGAAATAAATCAAGCCCAGGGGAATTATTTGGGATTTGGGATTCCTGTTCCAGCTGTGGAGGGGCACTGGCAGGTTGTGGCATTCCCGGGAATCTGAGGTGGCCAGGGGATGATAAATCCGTGCTTGCCAAGCAGAGCTTGCAGTGGCACAAAAGGGGAATGAAGTTTGTCCCTGCTGTGCTGCAGAGGGGACACACAAAGGGGACACAGGGCCAGGAGGAGCTGGCTCGGCCCCAGTCCCACTCAGCACCCCAACACCCCACTGAATTCACCCCCAAATTTAGGACTTTTCTCACGGATCTTCAACATCCACCTGGGGATACTTTGGGCTGTGTGCAGCCATTCCTGTTTAATTTTTTGCCCTCAAATGCCAAGATTTTTTTGCACCATTTCGGTGCCATCATCTGAGACGAGGCAGCGAATCCTGCAAGAATGGAACCCCTGCTCTGCCAGCATCTCCCTGAGCATCCAGGGAACAATCCTGGAGCTCAGACCCCACTTCCAGCCCGATCTCCAGGTGGGGGTGTCCCGCTCAAAGCCAAGCACCCAGCTGTGGGGTCAGGAGGGCTTTACCCAGCACGGTGAGATAGGCCTTGGCCAAGTCCTTGTCCAGCTCCGTGCTGGCCACGCACGTGTAATCGCCCTGGTCCTTCTCAGTCACGCCGTAGATCGTCAGACCATCCTCCTCCTTCTTCATCCTTCAAGGAAACAGCATCCCAAAATTCTGCCCCAACGTATTTAGTTGAAGGCTGGATGTTCCCTGACAAAATCCAGCTGGGAAACCCAACCAGAGCAGGAGAACATCTCCGGTCTGGAGGTTTTATCAGCTAAGGATGTGCTGGGTTATTCTGGGAAAGCTCATTTCCTAAGGAATCATGCGCCCTGCGGTGTATCTGGGGAATAATCACATTTTTAGGACAACAGCCAACCCCGGGCTCGCGCCCTGGGATCAGATCTTGCCTCACAAGAAAGGGAGTCAGGTACGGAAAGGAAATTAAAGCTGTGCCAGCCACAGCAGAGAATTTTGGAGCGGCTCGTTGTGAATTCCCAGGTTTTATGAAGATGTCCCAAGATATCCAGGAATAAAACCTGCAGCAAAGTCTGGATTTGCTGATAAATCAGCTGGAATTGCTGGAGGGAGTCAATGAGATTAAAAGTGTCAAAAAACATCAAATGTTGCTTAGGTGGGAACTCAATATTTATCCCTGGGGACTCCTGGAATGTTCTGCTAAAATATCCAACAATTCTGGGAGAGAAATCCGTGGAATTTTTGGGCACAGACCTGTTCCCCAGGTGCAGAGGGGCATCGTCCTTGAGCCAGGTGACCATGAGCCGGAGCGTGGGGTCGTGCTTGACGCGGCAGTGGAGCCGGGGCATGGTGCCCCTCTTGACCACCTGGTCCTCGGGGCCCCTCACGATCCTGGTGGGGTCTGGAGGGGGTCAAAAACAAAGGGTCATGTTCCACACTCCTCAGGACCCCTGATGGTCCTGGTGGGGTCAGCACGGGGTCAGGGGTTATGTCCCAAACTCCTCAGGACCCCTCATGGTCTTGGTGGGGTCAGCATGGGGTCAGGGGTTGTGTCCCAAACTCCTCGGGTCCCCTCATGGTCCTGGTGGGGTCTGCAGGAGGTCACAAAGGGTCATGTCCCAACACCCTGGATCCCTTGGATCAGGGACTCAGCGGAGAGCAGAGTTACTTGGGAAGGACAAGCACACTTGGGGTGTTTGTCCAGCTTTGAAGAAATAAATTAATTTTATGAATCATGAATTTGTGCTGAGCTTTTAAAAAAAAAAATATATATTTTTTTTTTTTAAGTCAGCAGCCAGATTTGCTGAGTGGGGTAAAAACAATTCCAAAAATGTTTCACTGTCCTCAGCTGACCCCGAGGAACACTTGGGGTCAGTGCTGGCGTTGCTGATGGAATCTCCCAGCCTGAGACCCAACCCAAGCCCTTCCACCACCCCCAGCCTCGCTTTTCCCAACATTAAAACGGAATCTCCACCGTTTTAAGGCTCCCAGCTCCGACCCGCTGGAAGATCAGATCAGCCACAACCAACCCACTTCACCTCAAGGATTATTCCTGATGCAGCTTCCAGAAAATCCAAGACATTGACCTTAACTACTTCTGCTGCAACTTCCAGCAGATCCAAGATTTTGACCTCAACTATTTCTGCTGCGACTTCCAGCAGATCCAAGATTTTGGTGCCTCAGTGCCCCTACCTTTGACCTCCAGGCGGACCTGGGCCTCAGCTTTCCCCAGGATGTTGGTGGCCACACAGGTGTAGATTCCCTGGTCCTCCTTCCGAGCCATGAACATCTCCAAGCTCCCGTTCTCGTGAGCTTTGTAGTTGCCTCCGTCCAGCATGTTCCCCTGGCCGTTCTTAAACCTCCCAACACCACAAAGTGCTGTTGGAAGGGAAGGAAAAGCAGGAAACCCCCCCTTTCCCACCCCTCAGGATGGAGCAGGGTGGGATCTGGCTCTTACCAGCGTAGGGTGGGGATGGGAGACCCAAAAAAGGGACAATCCAGGCGGGTCCTGTTGTTCTGGATCACCTTGATCAGCTGGTTCCGGGGCCCCAGGATCCGGGGGGGAACATCTGCCAACAGCCAAAATTCCAGCCGTGGAGAAGGAGAAAAAGTGGATTCTGCTGCTCTTTTCCGTGTTTTTTTTGTTCACTTTTCCTACTGGCACTTTCAAAACCCAGTAGAGCTTCTCCATTCCCGCTCACCTCCCCTTCCCTCTCCTTCCCGCCTGGTTTTGTGACTCATATCCCTGGATTTGCCCAGCCTTTGCCTGGTTTGAATCCATGGCAATGGATTCCTGCTCCAAAGCCTGTGTTCCTTTGTGCCTTCCCTCAGAGCAGCAAAGGGAAAAACTCATGGAAAACTTTTGCAGGGAAGAGAGAACTTGGAAGAACCAAGAGAGCAACTTTTACGCGGGAATGTGGTAATAGGATAAAGGGGAATGATTTGAAACTAAAATAGGAGAGTTTAGGTGGGATATTGGGAAGAAATTCCTGGCTGGGATGGAATTCCCAGAGAAGCTGTGGCTGTCCCTGGATCCCTGGAAGTTTCTGAGGCCAGGTTGGAGCACCCTGGGATAGTGGAAGATTCCATCCCCCACCCAAGGCAAGAGAGTGGAATTTTAGATGAATCCCAGAACCAACTGCCCGGAAAAAGGTTGGAAAAGATTTCCAGCAAGGTTGGAAAAGCCCTTTAAGATCATCAAGTCCAACCTACGACCCAACACCACCTTGGCACTGAGTGCCACATCCACCCTTTCAAGGTGAGCTTTGAGCTGAGCTTTAAGGTCCTTTCCAATCCAACCCATCCTGGGAATTTGTGGAAATCCATGGAAATTTGAGGTCTGGATGCTCCCATTCCCGCAGACTCACCCAGCACACTGACGAAGGCGTTGGCCAGCAGGTAGCCGTGCTCGTTGGAGGCGTTGCACTGGTACACGGCGCTGCTGCCGATCTGCGTGTCCCGGAACACGATGGTGTCCCCGGCCACCTCCCGGCTCGGGTTGGGGGGAGATGCTTCAAAGCAAGGACAACTCCTTCGACTCGATTCCGAATGGAAATCCACCCCATAACACCATGGAGCGTCTTCCCAGCTCGGCCCGGTTCAAGCCCGGTGATGGTGTGTGAGCTCCAGAGCCACAGCTGGGGGCCATGGGGTGAACTGGGGCCATCCCAGACAAGCTGGGGCTTCACGTGGAGCCCATGTGGGAGCTGGAGCCCAGCAGCAGCTCCGGCCTGTGCTCAGCCACGGGATCAGTGACTGGACTTGGGCTGGGATTTGGGCTGGGATTTGGGCTGGGATTTTGGAGGACGAAGCAACTCTGGCTCGTGCTCATCCACAAGATCCTAGGCTGGGAATTTGGTGGGATTTTGGCTGAGATTTTGGAGGAGGAGGAGACTCTGGCTCATGCTCAGCTAGGATATAATTGGTCAGGATTTGGGCTGGGATTTTGGTGGGATTTCGGCTGAGATTTTGGAGAAGGAAATCACTCTGGCTTGTGCTCAGCCAGGATATCATTGGTCAGGATTTGGGCTGGGATTTTGGTGGGATTTTGGAGGAGGAAGTAACTCTGGCTCGTGCTCAGCCAGGATATTGTTGGCTGGAATTTTGGCTGGGATTTTGGAGAAGGAGGCCCAGTCTCTCCCTCCCTCACCTTCGATGGGCTCTCCGTTCACCAGCCACTGGATGGACGGTTTGGGGTTCCCGTTGGCCCGGCACACGAGCCTGCCGTCCTCGCCGGGGGCCAGGATCAGGTTCTCCGGCTCATCCAACCAGTAGGGAGCAGCTGGAAAACAGCCCCGCCCCGATGACACAGGGACAGCGGCACCACCCCCAAAATCCCCCCTCCAACACTCCCTGGGGGAGGAAGGAGATGGAAATCCTGGTTTTCCCGGGATTTGATGAAGGAGGAGACCCCCTTTCCCTCTCCTTGGCCACACAAACCCACCACCATTTCCGTCAGTGGGATCCCATCTCCCGCTGCTTTTGGGACCGTTTGGACAAGATTTAATTTGAGAAAGGGAAGATTTAGATGGGATATTGGGATGGAATCATTCCTTGAGAGGATGAGGAGGGTCTGGGATGGAATTCCCAGAGAACCTGTGGCCGTTCCATTCCTGGAAGTGTCCAAGGCCGGGTTGGATGCTGCTTGGAGCAACACGGAATGTGTGGAATTCCCAGGGGGTGGAGGTGGGTGATCTTTAAAGTCCTTCCAACCCAACCCCTTCCGTGATTCCCTGAAGGACACGGGCACAGGGAAAGGCCTCACTGTCCCTTCCCAGCATTCCATGAACGTCCCCTCCCTGCTGCAGGCGGCCAGGACCGAAAGAGGGAAGGTAAAGGTGACGTACCCTTCACTCTCACCGAGATCGTGTGGCGGATGCTGCCCATCTTGTTGGAGGCCAGGCAGAAATATTCCCCGGAGTCCTCCTCGGACACGTTGGAGATGCGCAGGGCCTTGTTGAAGTTCTCCAGCTTGGTTTTGCCCACCGGGAGCTCCCCGCCTTTCTTGAACCACATGATGTCCGGTGCTGGTCTGAGGAGAGGGGAGCGGATCAGAGCTTTTCCAAAGGCAAGGGAATGATTCTCAAGTAAGGAATTGTTATTCTGAAATAACAGTAAAATTCCCATCCTGGGAACCACTAAAACCCAGGGGGAAGGTCTGAGCTAAAGGTCCACCCTTATTCCCATCACCCTCCTTCCCGCCACCACCCCTAAACCACAGCCTGGAGCATTCCGGGAACAGTGCTTTCCTCCTGATCCCCCTGGGAATGCAGGATCACGGAATTCTGGAATGGTTTGGGGTGGAAGGGACCTCAAAGCTCGTGTCTGACCATGCTCTGATGGTTTGGGCAGGACCACGAGCCCAGGACACTTCTGAGGGACACGAATGTCCTCCCACCCAGTGTGGTGAGAAGCTCCCAGGACATTCCCAAACTTTAGGACAAACCAGTGGGGAATTATCCTTGGATAAGGATCTGAAAACACTTGGAAGCCTCAGCTCCGTGTGCTGAGCAGGTTCTGGGAGCATTGTTAACAACCAAAAAGGAGGGAATGATCCCTTTTTCCCAATCCAGGGGTGATTCCATGCCCTGATCCCGCTGGGAATCGCTGAGGATCACCCTCTCCGTGGTACATACACTCCGGAGGCGATGCATTCCAGCAGGAGATCCACCCCTCGGAGCACCATCTGGCTGCTGGAAGTTCCGTAGGGATACATGAAGCTGGGAGTGGTTTCCGTGATCCCTCGGGCTGGAATCAGTGGGAGAGAAGGAAAAACAAACCAAAACAAACCAAAACAAAAAAAAAAAACAAAGAAAACAAAACACGGGTCTTTTAAAAGTCTCATGGAAATCATGGAAAGCGTCACCTCCCCGGTCATCCCGGGATTCTGAACTCACCCGGGAATGCGCCTGGAAAGGAAGGGAGGGCTCCAAAAGAATTTGGGATTTAAAAAAAAAAAAAGAAGGGGAGAGAGAGAGGGGAAGTTTGGCCGGCAGGGAGGAGAAAGAGCGGCAGGGGGAGCTGAGCGCTGGAGAAGGTCCCCATTCCATCAGTTCCCTCTTTTCCTGCCCTCCCTGCCTCTGGAAAGTGGGCTGGAATCAGATGGAATTGGGAAATACTGATGGATGTAACACATAACAAAGGACAACAGGAAAAATGGGCATGGGAAGGGTTTATTCAGACCCGGAGCTGCTTTTCCATGGAAATCTCCAGGATATGGAGCAAGCCCGGGTCTCCAGCAGCACCAAGGAGGTTTTCCAGCTTTCCTGGAGGCCTGGAAGGACGATTCCCCTTGGAAAGGGACAGCTCAGCCACCAGAATGACCCATTTAGAGCTGGACAGGGAAGTTTAATGGGGAAAAAAAACAAAGGGAAGACACGAGACAATTCCCTACGGATCCACTCGCAGTGAAGGCCTCTTTGCAGGGCGAAAAAATTAATTATTCATGGAAAAAATTCCATTAAGAAGTGGAATGATTGACCTAGATCGGGATCAGTGAGGACAAAACAGGATGAGATGGGCGGGAAAGCAGCAGTAGCAGGGATGGGAGTGATGGGATTAGGAAAGGGATGGGATGGGAACAGGGACAACAAAAAATCCTAGAGTGATCCATGGGGAGAGACCATCCCGGCGCCGGAGCAGGATTTGGGATGCCCCAAAATTTCCTTGACCCCATGAGAGGGAGGCAACCAGGATTTTGGGAATTTTGGGAATTTTGAGAAACTTCCAGAGCTGCGGCAGGGGAAAGAGGAAGGGAGTGAGGAGAGGAATTCATCCTGGAATTCCCACCTTAGGGAAGGAAAACCCAAGCCCAGGATTCATCCCTGGAATCCTTGGAATTGGTTCCGCGCCCACATCCCGCGGCTCCCACAAACTCAGCGTGCGCTCCCAGTTTAGTCAGTTATGGATTAATGGATTCCCAGGGCAGGAATATTTCGGTTTTATCCGGAGTTGTCCGGGTCTGTTTGCATCCCTGCTCCCGGAGAAAGTTTCATTCCCGGTTAAACCAGCTCAACCCATCCCAGGGCAGAGCTCCCAAACCTCCACCACAATCAGAAAAGCGGGAATTAATTCTTTTATCAGCCAAGATTGGCTTTGATCAGGATTTATTCCCACTCCAGGTCCTGTGGGATAACTGGAAGAGCCAAGCGGAGCAAGCCGGATTTTACAAGCCTGTATTAATGATGGCAATTAAAAATCAGGGAGATTAATTAGTACCCTCCTGGCTTTAATGAACCTAAGGACAGCACGGAGGAAAAAAAAAAAAAAGATTTTTGCCTCAGCACAGCACCATTCATAAATAATAATTAATAAATAATAAACATAAATTAATAAATAATAAATATTTTGCTGTTTCTAACAGGGAGCAGCCAGAAATTCCCTGAGAACCAGAGGCTCTGAGCATGTGGAAGTTCCAGCTGGAAGTGTCAAGGTTTCCCTCATCCCTCTGGATGGATCTGAGCTGGAAAAATAAATCCAAGGGCTCTTTTATTTCGGCTTAAAAATCGACTCTGCTCCCAAGCTTTGCTGTGAACTGGGATCATCCCAGAAATATCCAATTCTCATCCCAGAGCTGCCAACTGCCCCTTTCCCAGCTAAAATTCCTCTGTCACCTCTGTTTTCCAGGGATGTGCTCATCCTGGCGCATCCCAACTGCTCAGCCCCGGCACAGCCAGGCTCGAACAGCCTCAGGTTTGCCAAAAAAAAAGAGAGGAAAAGGGTCAAAATGGGGTTTTAGTTCCATTAAAAGGAAAAAAACTGGGAAATTCTGCTAATGAAATATTCCATTTATCCTTTTGGATTGTTTTCCCCTGGTAACTGCAGCCGGTTTGCCCGCAGAGTTCTGGGAATCATCACTCCAAGACCTGGGAACAAGGGGTGGGTGACACTTCCTGTGATTTTCTCAGCCCTGGAGAGGAATTTGGGACAAGTGTCCCACAAATCTCCCGTGCTCCACGTCCCCGCCAGCAGATCCCAAAGTCCCAAGCTCAGGAACATCCAGGGAATGGGATTCACAGCCTTCCAGACCCCTTTTCCAGCTGCCTCTGGAGCTGAGCCAGGATCGTGGGGAGCAGCACCCCAAGGAAGAACAGCCAAGACCCCCAAATTCCCCCCAACAATCCAATCCTTGGGATTCACATCCCTCTCCACATCCCAAAGCCTCCAGCATTCCCAGCCAGGTCATTCCAGGAACGCTGGGCAGCAACAAGGAAAAGGGGCGAGGGTAAGAATTTTTATCCCCAGCTCATTAATTATTGAGTTAATTAAGGCCTGGGTTGGAGTCCAGGTCTGCACAGGGGTGGGAGAGGGGGATCTGAATCCTCTGGAGCCAGGAAGTTTTCCAGGGAAAGTTACAACACGAACAGCAGGAAGTTTCTCCAGCGCACCCATGAAATAGGGGGACAGAATGGGATTGTGCACATAAAATCCCCTTTTCCTGATTTTCCTTTTCCCTGGACAAAGATATCCAGGGAAATCCGGAAGCCCAGGAAAACTCTCCACTGGAATTCCCTTTGTCCCTATCCCATCTCTTGTCCCCTCCCTTCCAGGTGGTTGATGCAGCTCCCACCGAAGCTGATTTTGTTGAAAATCCATTTTCCCATTTTTCCAAGTATTTCCAGACCGTCCAGGCCATTCCAGCGCTTCCTCCCAGGCTGATTCCACTGCAGAGCCTTTCCCAGCTCCTCAGCTTCCTCCAAACCCTCCTGTTCCCAATCCCAATCCCCTTGGCCGTGCCCTGGCCTGGCACATCCTGCTCTTCCCTCATTCCAGCTCTCCCTGCTCCCAGCTGGCAGCGCCTTCCTTGTCCCCAGAAGTCCCCGTGGGTTGGGAATTGTGCCCTGGGCTGTGCCAGGCCCCGAGGATGCTCCAGCTCCAGCAGGGATTTCCCTCCAGGACACTGTGGGGACAGCAAGGGACATTCCCGGAGCTGACCCCACACAACCCCGGCCCCAAAAGCAGCAGGAAGGGCAGGAATCCTGTCTGGGACAGCTCCGGATCTGGGAGCAGCTGGAATCCCTGGTGGCTTTGGAGAGGTGGTGACATTCCCAGGATTCCCTGTGCCCCCAAACCAGCCCCATCTCCCTCTCCCTAAAATCCCTCACTGCTGCTCTTGTTATCCCAACACATCCCTGACAATTCCAGCCCATTCCCGGTGCAGCCATCCTGGGGTTTTTGTGCCTGAAGCGTCGTTTGGGATTTTGGGAAGGGCTTCTCCCTGAAGTGGCAGAATCCAAAGGGAATTCCCTGCCCAGATTTAGGATTTGGGGATGGGATTCTCCCGGCAGGGGCTGAATCCGAAGGGAATTTCCTGTCCCGACAAAGGGCAGGAGCCTGTGGAAGCGCCCAGCACTTGTCCAACCTCTCTGCACAGAAATCACCCAGATCTCAGGAAAACCCAAATATTCCTCTTTGTATCCCCTCTTGTTATCCCTGCCTGAGTTCAGCTGGAAATACCAGGAATGTTCCCTCTGGAAATGCTTCTCCTGGAGACACAGAAAAGAGGGATGAGGCTCTGATGTTTAAATCCTGAGCGACCAAACTCAGCTCAGCCACGCGGGGCAGATCCTGCAAACCCCAAACCCCCTAAAGCCGGGCTTAACTCGCTCAAACCCGGGACGGGGGAACTTTGTGGGGTTTTGTGGGATGGATTTACTCCGATAAATTTTGGCGAAGCTGCGGCCACGACGGGGACACGGCGACAGCAGAGGGGACGAGGGCAGGGAATGGGGTCAGTGGGGTTAGGCGGGACTGGGTTAAGCCGGGATTGCCAAAGCCAGCGTGGACTCACCGCGGTACATGGCAGGGGAATTTCCTAAAGACGTTTCGTTATGGGATTTCTCTGTAATTAAACAAAACACCGTGAGCAGAGCCGGGGGAGGCGGGGACAGCGTGGGAGGGGGACACGGAAATTCCAAAAAAAACCAGCCAGGACATCCCAAAAATCGGCAAGGACAGGGGGCACGGAATTCCTAAAAAATAGTAAGGACAGAAGAGGGTGGGGGATATAGGGAATTTCCAAAAAACAAGGAGGGGACAGGGTGGGGAGGCACGAGAATTCCCAAAAAACAGCCAGGATGGGGGACACAGGGAATTCCCAAAAAAACAGCCAGGATGGGGGACACGGGGAATTACCAAAAAATATCCCGAATGGGAGACACGGAATTCCCAAAAAAAGCACCAAGGATAGGACAGGGTGGGGGTCATGGGGACGTCCCAAAAACCAGCCAGGATAGGGACACAAGGAATTCCCAAAAAACCAGCAAGGACGGGACAGGGTGGGGGATCTGAGAATTTCCAAAAGCCAGCAAGGGATGGACAGGGTGGGGAACACTGGGAATTCCCAAAAAACAGCAAGGACAGGACAGGTGGGAGCAGGGATCCAAAAGCACTCGGAGCACGGCGCCTTCCAGGACAAACACAGCCAGGGACAGCAGGAAAAGGGGCTGGTTTCCTTCTCCAAGGGGTGGGAAGAGCTAAAAGTGTGGGAATTGTAGAGCAAATATTTCCTTGGAATGTTTAAAAGTGTGGGAATTGTAGAGCAAATATTTCCTTGGAATGTTTTCCTCTTTGGAATCTCTGAGAAAACCCGAAAATTGGAGCAATTTGGAGAGGAAAATGCTTTGGGGTTTTTTTTTTCCCTTCTGTTTTTTTGCCTACAAAAATTCCATTTTCCAGCTGCTTTTTCCAATGGGATGGACACAGCTGGATAATGACATAAGAAGGCAAGGAGGAGATGAAAAATTAATAATAATAATAATAATAATAATAATAATAATAATAATAATAATAATAATAATAATAATATTTTTCAAGCACAGCCTGCTGTAAAATCCTTCTTAATTCCAATTTAATTCATGGAGATTGTGTCCAGCTCCTCACTGAGGTGTTTATTGACCCTTGATTCCCATGAATAATGAAGTGAATCCCTCGTTCTCTGGGAAATGGGGATTCCTCACCCTGCCCTGCCCTCCCCAGCATCCCAAATCCCGGTTTGGAGCCCGGGAATATCCTGGCACAGCCACATTCCCGAATTTTCAGAGCCTTAAATCCCTGTGTCCCTCAAGGGGTTAAAAGAGAATGCCCAAGAGCTCCCCAAACCTGGAGAAACGCCAAAAAATTCCCTCAGGAATTCCCTGGAACCTTCCCATTTTCCTCCTGCATCCCATTCCATGATCTGTCAGGAGCTGGGGAAGACTTTTTGAAGGAGCCAAACTCGGGGATAAAGACTGAGATGATCCAAGAGCTTGGGACAAATCCAACCTCGTCCCCTTCCAACATTTTATGGATAAAGGATTTTTTGTATGGGAAATTAAAGCCTCAGTTCCAAATTTTTTAAGGAATCTGGGAGGCTCCTGGGGTGGAATTTGCCTCTGATCCTACAGAAGTTGTTTCCCAAGGAAAACTGGAGGAGAAGGATTTTATTTTCCAAGGTTTGGGAATGAAGGGGTGTGAGAGAAGTGAGGGGAGTGGCAGGGGGGAAACTCAAATCCATGAAAATCCACCAGGATTCCATCCAGTTTGCTTCCAGAGTTGGGTAAATACATCAGGATGGAGCCCTTGGAGGCTCCAAACCCCACAGATCTTTGTTTGCCGGGATTTTTCCCAAAAAAGAAACACTGGGATTTTCTTTGCCCAGCTCTGCAAACAGACAAATATTCGGAATCCACAAATAATATCCGGAATTATAAATGACATCCGGAATGAACGAGCTGCCCACATTCCCAGCACTGGGAAGGAATCCCTTGGAATTATTTAAATCACTTCTTCCCTACTCCAGCTTTGCACCAAGGAGGAGCTGCTACTCCGAGGCGGAAAACTCGTCACTCCCAGATCCCTTTCATCACATTCCTGCTCATTCAGGCTGCCGGGAATTCCAATTAAATTCCTCCCACCAGCATTCAGGAGCGCCTGGTGCTTCCCAAAAAACAACCAGCACCTCCCAGCTGGATCTTCCTGGGAATGTTGGGAATGGTTGGAAGCTCCTGCCCGGTGATGGTGGATGTTCAATGAGGATTTTGTCACCTCGAGCCCTTGTGACAGCTCAGGGTCCTTGTGTCCCTCAACCTGACCCCATTCCCTCTTCCAGAGTCACCCCAGTGCAACAGGAATTCCTTTTCCTTCAGGAATTCTCATTCCTGGAGGAAAATCTGCCCTGGAAGAGGCCGGAGCCAAGGGAAAGGCTCTGGAGAGAGCCCCTCTTGTCCCCTCATTGATGCTCGGTGGGGACACCTGGGGACGCCCATCCCGAGGGTCCCACTGGATTCCAGAGGCTCCCACCAGATTCCAGATGCTCCCAGTGAATTCCAGAGGCTCCCACCCTCCTAGAGACACCTCCCAGAGCAAAGGAGACCCAGGAATATCCACAGTCACATTCCACACCCGTTTTTCCACATCCAATCCCCTGGAGCAAACCACGGCCAATTCCAGCTTCCCAAAGCAGGGAATGATCCCTGGATATTTTACATTTCCCTGAATGTGGTGGGAATGTGGAAACACTCCCAGTTTTGTCCCAAAGACGTGGCATTTGTGATTCCTGGTCCAAGTTACCCCTGGATATTTTACACTTCCCTGGAGATGAATTTCGCTGATATGGAAACACTCTCCAGTTTATCCCAAATATGCGGAACTGGTGCTTCCTACACCAAATCCCCTCTGGATATTTTACATTTCCCTGGAGACAGTAGGAATACTCCAGATGTGTCAAAACTCTGTAATTCATCCCGAACACAGGGAATTGGTGATCCCTGCATTTCCCTGGAGATGACAGGAGTGCTCCATCCCTGCTGAAACATTCCCTGTTTTATCCCAAACACACGGAACTGGTGATTCCTGCATTTTCCTGGGGATGGTGGGAATGCCCCGACTGCTCGGAAACTCCCCCAGCTTTATCCCAACACTGGGATTTGGTGATTCCTGCTTCGAGTTACCTCTGGATATTTTACACATCCCCGGAGACAGCGGCCGTGCCACACCTCTGTCAAAACATTCCCAGCTTTATCCCAAGCACACAGAATTGGCATTTCCCTGGAGATGGCGGGAACGCCCCATCTGCGAAACGCTCCCGGTTTCACCCCAAACACACGGAATCGGCAATCCCTACACCAAACCACCTCTGGAACCCTAAAACCGGGAATCCACAACCCCTCCCACCCCAAAAACCACCACTCCTCACCCAAACCCGTCCTTACCCCACCCTAACCAAACCACGTGAGCCGCTCTTCCCTTTCCTGGATTCCTGACGGGAAAATCCCATGGGATGGAGGCCAAACTGGTCTCCCAGTGAGCCACTTACTGGTTTTGACCTTGAGGGTGAAGGGGTTCTTCTGCTGGATGGTGTGGGTGAAGTGGAAGCGGGCGTTGCAGCTGTAGTCGGTCAGCGCGTCCTGCGCCAGCACGTTGGAGAAGTAGAGGTCCCCGTTGTGGCCCTGGGACACGCGCTTGTCCTGCGGGATCGGCTCCATGGCTGCGGGAATTCGGGATTTATGGAGGCGGGGAATGGCGGGGGGATCGGGGGGTGCGAGGGGTGGTGAGCCGAAAGGAAGAGGGAGGGCCCTAAACTAACAGAAACGAGCCTAAATTAGCAGGAAGTGCCCAAAATTGGTGGTTATGAGCCTAAACTAGCAGAAAATGCCCTGAGTGAGCAGAAAACAGCCCTGAGGTACCAGTAACGATCCTAAACTATTAAAAATGACCCTAAACTAGCAGAAAGTGCACAAAATTGGTGGTTATGAGCCTAAACTAGCAGAAAATGCCCTGAGTGAGCAGAAAACAGCCCTGAGGTACCAGTAACGATCCTAAACTATTAAAAATGACCCTAAACTAGCAGAAAGTGCACAAAATTGGTGGTTATGAGCCTAAACTAGCAGAAAATGCCCTGAGTGAGCAGAAAACAGCCCTGAGGTACCAGTAACGATCCTAAACTATTAAAAATGACCCTAAACTAGCAGAAAGTGCACAAAATTGGTGGTTATGAGCCTAAACTAGCAGAAAATGCCTTGAGTGAGCAGAAAAAAAAACCCTAAACTACCTGTGACGACCCTAAACTATTAAAAATGACCCTAAACTAGCAGAAAGTACCTGAAATTAGCAGTAATTACCCTAAACGAGCAGTAATGACCCTAAGTTAGCAGCCATGACCCTAAACTAGCAGAAACAGCCCTAAACTAGCAGAAATTACCCTAAACTAGCAGAAATTACCCTAAACTAGCAGAAATTACCCTAAACTAGCAGGACCAACCCTAAAGTAGCAGAAAGTGCCCTAAACTGATAGAAATGACCCCAAACTAACAGGAACAACTATCAGGACCAACCCTAAACTAACAGAAACAACCCCAAACTATCAGCAACAATCCCACCCATGGTTATTTTGAACCCCAGAGGTGACGGAGCCGCCGTTCCCGGAATTCCCGGTGGGAAAGGCGCTCCCCACTCACAGCTGCTCATCCAGAAGATGACGGGCTCGGGGAGGCCGGGCGGGGGATTGCACTGCAGGCTCAGCGGGGCCCCCTCATCCACCTCGATCACATCCACCTTTTCCTTGGGCCACAGCGGAGATTCTGCCACGGGAAGCAAAGGAAGGAAAGTGAGGAAAGAAGGGAAGGATTCCGGGAGATTCCTGCTGGATCCGGCCTGGTTTCAGCGCAAAATTTGTCTGGGTGTGTGTAAAACTCTCAGGAATTCAGCCCTTGAAATCCATCCCTGGAATCCACACCCTTAAATTCATATCCTCAGTTCCATCCCCTCAATTCCATCCCCTTAAATCCATGTCCTCAAATCCATATTCAAATCCATCCCCTGAAATCCATCCCCTCAAATCCATTCCTGAAATCCACACCATTAAATTCATATCCTCAGTTCCACGCTCTCAATTCCACGCCCCCAAATCCATCCCTCAAACCCATCCCCTCAAACCCATCTCCCTAAATTCATCCCTCAAATCCATCCCTGAAATCCACACCCTTAAGTTCACATCCTCAGTTCCACGCCCTCAGTTCCACACCCTCAAATCCGTATCCTTAAATTCACATCCTCAATTCCACCCCACCAAATCCATCCCTCAAACCTTCATCCCGAGCGATTCCCCGTCAGCTCCAGCCACAACCCCACTCCTTCCCTGTCTCCTGGACACACCCGGAGCTGTTTGAAAGCTGGATATTCCCCTCCAAACCTCCCGTGGCCCTGCTCCGCTTCCCGGGAATCACTCACTGGAAACCTGGAGGTGGATTTTGCTGGAAAGGGCCGTTCCGTAGTCGTTCTTGGCAAAGCACTGGTACTCGCCCTCGTAGTCGTCGGGCCGGCCCCCGCTGTGGAAGTCGATGACCAAAGTTCCCGATCTCCTCCTCATGGACACCTTGGGATCCTTGGCCACGTTGAAGAACTTCCCGTTCCGCGTCCAGGAAAAGCTGGAATGGCAAGGAAAAGCCGGGTTTGGAACCGTCTCCCCGGTGAGGTCCTTACCTGTGCTGCGCCAAGAGTGGGATGGGCTGGTGAAGGAGGGTGAAGCAGCTGGAGCGGCTCCGGAGCGCTGAGGGACAGCGGGATGAGGGCTGGGAATGCACTCACATGGGAACGGGATTGCCTTTGGCTTCGCATTCGATGAAGATGTTATCCCTGGGATCCACGATGTAATCCTTGATGGATTGCTTGGTGATCGTGGGGGGCTGCGGCACTGCAGGGAGAGGGAAATCCGTGAGGAACCGGTGGAGATCCCTCTGCACCCTCCCGCAGCATTTCCTGCTGGGATCTCAGCTCCTTCCCCCTGCTGGGTGGGTGATCTGGAGGTTGAATCCTGAGGAAATTCCTGTGAATTCCCTGAATTCATCACCTCTCGGAGCACCACAGTGTCCGGACTCCCTTCAGGTACCAAAAAACCTCAATTCCCTCTCCATATCTTGCTCTCATTTGGGAATGTCCCAGTCCCAGCCTCCTGTTCCCGCAGGGTGAATCCAGTGGGAATCCATCCTGGATCTGCAGCTCCGAAGGGGCTGGACCAGGGAACCTGAGACATTCCTGGTGTGAGGAAGAGGCTCCAACCCCCCCAGGATGGCCCCAAAGGAGCTCAGACCTGGAATTTAGGAGGGCAGGGATGGAAACAGGAACCCCATGGCCAGAACAGGACCCGGCCCCGATCTCTGAACTGCAGATCCCATCTCCTGGGGTGAAGATCCAAGGCTGTTTCCTCATCCCCTGAGATCCAGGGATGCTCCCAACTCATCAGGATGCGAGGCTGAGCCTGGCACAGGTGCCAGGAGGGAATTCCTGCCTTTCTCCAAACCCAAACCCAGCAGGAAAAACTTTTCCCTGGCAAACACAGCCCGGCTCCTGCTCCTGGGAAAGCACAGAGAGCTGGGAGCTCTTCCCAAGCTGCTCCAGCCTCTCCATGCCCTGGGATGTGCGGGAAAAGTGACTCAAAGTCCCCCTTGTGCCACCACCAGCCCTCGTGCAGTTTTGGGGACAAGGACACAGCCACCCCCAGGGGAGGGAACACTTACATTCACTCTGGATATTTGCTGTTATTCCCAAAGGGAAAGCATAGAGGGAAAAAGACAGGAGGTTAATTCAGGAGCAACCCCATTCCCAGCACAGCCAGAAAACAAATCCAGGGAGTTTTTGCAGGCCTTAGAAACCCTACACAAATAAACCCTTTTCCTTCCAAATGTGGAGGAGAAAATCCAACCATGGAGGAGAAAATCCAGATTTGGAGAAGAAACCCCAAACATGGATGAGAAAATCTGAATGTGGAGGAGAAAATCCAAATTTGGAGAAGAAACCCCAAACATGGATGAGAAAATCTGAATGTGGAGAAGAAAATCCAAATGTGATGGGGAAAACTGAGCTGTGGAGGAGAAAATCCACCCAGGATGTTCCCACCTTCATCCCACCTCCTCCCCATCCCAGCGAGGAATTTTCGGGAAGGAAGTGGAGAGGATAAATCCCAAACTCACAGTCCAGGGGGACCTCGATGGCGCTGACGAGGTGCTGGAGGCAGAGGGCGAAGGCAATTCCGGCACAGGTGACCTGGGCTCTCCTCGGGATCATCTTGGAGCTTCTCCAGGTGGCCTCAGGACCTTGGGATGTCCCTTGGGGTGGCTTTGGGGTGTCCCCTGGGGTGGCACCTGCGGAGGTGTCCTCAGCTGGAATAAAACAACCCCAAAGTCACATCGCTGAGCCGAACCTGGCGCTTTCCCCTTTGGAAACTTCGGGAACACGGTGTTTCCGCCCCAAAAAAATGGTGGGAACAGAGCCAGGAATGGTGTCCAGGATTTGGGGAAGACGTGGGAACAGCTCTCCTAAGCCCAGGGTTGTCCTGCTGGAAGGATTTATGGAGTTGTTCGGGCTCCAGCCCTGGAAGGAGCGCCCAGGGACCAAGAGAAAATTCCTGGGAGCAGTGGGATCCAAATGGAGCCCGTGGGATGGAATAAAAATGTGGATTTGCTGTTTAAAAAACAATAATAATTGTATTTTGTGCATAAAAGCTATTGAGGAACATCCAATCCCTCAGGACATCGGGATGAGCTCAGGGGTCTGGAGCCCCCCGCCTTGTTGTCCCAAAAATCCTGTAATTGATCCAGCAGAATTCTAGGATTGGGATCTTTCCCAACTGCTTTCCAAACAATCCCATTCCCAAGCAGGAGCCTGATGTTCCCCTCACTGCTGCCAGATCCCACCCAAGCTCCCAGGATCCCGTTTTCCACCCAGACACATTTTATCCCTCCAGTAACAAATGCAGATCCCAAAAGGACTACAAAAAGCTTTAAACCCATAAAAAACAGGGATATTTTAAGGGATGGAGGCAGTTTGGGTTAAAAAAGGTCCAAATAGGAAGAGTTTGGGCCTGAAAAGTGAGGAATTTCTTATTTTCCTTGGATTTGGGGGTGGGTAATGGCTGAGAGGGAAAGGCGGAATTTCCTGGCACAGATTCCTGGGGAATATTTGTAAATACAGGAATAGAAAAGGGCTGAGCCCAAGCTCTGATGGAAAATCACGGAATTCTGGAATGGTTTGGGTTGGGAAGGGAATTTAAAGCTCATCCCAAGGGCAGGGAAACCTTCCCCTACCCCAGGTTGCTCCAACCCGGCATTGGGCACTTCCAGGGATCCAAGGACAGCTTCTCCCTACAAATCCTCGTAGGTCCCATTGCAACAGGGCTGCAAAAATCCAGGAATTCAGGAAGAAATGCAATTCCAGGCAATTTTTGAGCTGTAAAAATTCCACAGAATCTCTGGCCTGAACCCATGGGCAGAATCCTGCGGGAATGCCCCGGCTGGGTGATCCATAGGATTGCACGGAGCAGCGCTGGCCGGGAGCAAGGAAAACCACACAGGGAATTCATCCCGCTGGGAAATGCCAGGCTCCTCCAGGCTCCTCCAGGCTCCTCCAGGGCCCCTTTGTCCGGAGCAGATGTGGGCAGCGGGAACAATCCCTGGGAACAATCCCTGGGAACAATTCCTGCGCGTGTAGGTGGATCCTGGAGAACACAGCCCAGCATTGTCCCGGCTGCTCCCGGGAATTCTCCCGGCACAGAGGCTGGAGCTGCCACAAGGATCACAGGGACATTCCAAGCTGGGGGTGCTGGAGATGAAGGAATGGCCAGGGGAGAAGCTTTTCCCAAAAATCAGCATTTTCCCAGCTTTTTTCCTGCATAGAAAGGATCTGACACCAGCCCAAAAAGGAGGAAAAATCCTTCAGCCTCATCCCTGCATCCCAAAGGGAGGGACGGAGAGGGGAAAGGGTGGTTGGGTTTGGTTCATCACCAGAGCCCTGCTCTGCTCCTCAGAATTCCATGGAATTCCCTCTTTTCTCCCTCCTGATCTGAAATCAACAATCCATGGAAACAGCTTCTCTTCCTGCAGAAATTCCCGGGGAGATCCCGCTCCGGCACCAGCCAGGACACGGATTAATTTGGATCAGATTGGTTTGGGAGGAAGAAGGAAAGGAAGTGAGGGGAAAAATAGGGATTGAAAAGGGAAAATCCAGGTGGGAAAGGGAAAAGTTTGGTGCCACCCAGGACCCTCCCTGTGTCCCTCCACCGGACACTGGGCGACACTGGGACTGCTCCGGCAACATTTTTCCAGGAATCCTGAGAAAAAAATCCCAAAGAATCTGTGGGCTGGCAACCCAGGGACATTTCTTGTCCCATTCCCGATGGAGCAGCAAATCCCATCCCAGTAAATCCAGCTCAGGACAGGTGGAGGTGACGCTGTGCCGATGTCACCTCCTTTCCAGGGCCATCCATCCCACGCTGCTCCCAGAAAACCCACGGAGCTGGTGGCACAGGGGGACACGAGCGGCACCCGGAGTGTCCCCAGGCCACCCCTCCCTGGTGACATCTGGCCCTGGGATCAGCCAAGGGTTAATCAGGTGGAAAAATAACCCTGGGATGGATCCAGAGCCTCTGGAAAAGCTTCCCGGCTCCCACCTCCGCTCCTGCTGCCGGGCACAGCCCCAGAGGAGATTCTGGAACTGGGCTTGGAGCCTCTCCAAGGATGGGGACATTTGGACAAACTGTGGGATTTTTGGGGTCCCTTCCCACTCAGGATATTCCATGATTTTGGGAATAAAAGGATGGATGCAACACTCAGAGAGAGGAAACTTCCACATTCCTCCAGTCCCACGGAGCTGGGAGAGGGTTTGGCTGGAATTCCCTTCCCTGCTGGACACGACCCACAGCTGTCCGTGCCAGGGATGTCTGTTCCCATGGGAAAATCCACCCTGGGAAGTCGGGACACTTGGAATTCCTCTCCTGTGTGAGAGGAACCATCGGATATGGGAAGAGCAGATCCTGATCCCACCCTTGGATCCCAGACCCGGCTCTCCCTCCTGCCAAGGGCATCAGGCATGGCTGATTCCCAGTGGGAACTGGTTCATCCCAATGGGAACTGATTTATCCCACTGGGAACTGATTTATCCCAGTGAGAACTGATTTATCCCAGTAAGAACTGATTTATCCCACTGGGAATTGATTTATCCCAGTGAGAACTGATTTATCCCAGTAAGAACTGATTTATCCCAGTGGGAATTGATTTATCCCAGTGAGAACTGACTGATTCCATTGGGAGCTGACCTGGCCTTGGACACTTCCCTGGAAGTTCATTCCCAAAAAATCCCAGCTGGTGACCCAAAGCTGATGCTCCAGGAGTGTCCCATCATTCCTGGCAGGGTTTGGCGATCCCATTCCCACTTCTTTTCCCAGGAATTGTGACAGCCCTTGAGGACATTTTCCGCAAGAATGCGACGAAATCCCAAATTTATTCATTCCCTGGAGCTGGGAACGAGGAGGGCAACAGCCTTCCCTGCCATTTCCCACCATTCCCTGCTTTTTCTCACCATTCCCTGGCATTTCTCACAACTTTTCCCGCTCTCCATGGAATTGTCACCCTTTGTCACTCAGTCATCAAATCCCGGTGTCACCACCTCTCCATCTGCCTCCGGAATGGGAATAAATTAATTGGGAGAAGCTTTTGGCTCTGGGATAATGAAGCTGGCATGAGCCCAGCTCAGGAGGGAGCCTGGCGATGCTGTGGTTAAAAATTCCATGAAAATAAAAGGGATTTCGGGGAATTAAAAGGCCAGGTTGGAATTTAGGGTTTCCTTGGAAAAGGTCAAAGGATGGGGGGATGGATTGAGTCAGGGATGAAGGGAATGAGGATTTTTATCTGCCAAAACTTTCCAAAAATCCCTGGAAAAGGTGGAATCCGTGTCCTGCAAACCCTTGGAAACACAAATCTCCCCTTGCTGACACCGCTGGAAGTGGGAGGGAAAATCCACGGGAAAACTGAGGAGTTTAAAGTCCAGGAAAAAACAAAGAAAAGGAAAATTTCAACATTTAACTCTTCCCACCTCATCTCCAATCCACCAGAGTTTTCTGCTGGGAATATTCAATGGAAAAAGCGTGAAAATCCATTAAAACCCCGGAGCTGAGGGAAACAAAGAGCAGGGATTGGGAATGAGGGTTGGATCAGCAAATTCCTTGAATTCCACACGTTGGAATTGGAGCTGGAATCCAACTTTGGTAAAAGACAGAGAAGGATTTCCATGAAAAATTCAGGAGAAGAGGAAGGATCCCACCTCTGGCACAGCTCAGCTGCTGGATCTGGGCACAACCTGTCCCAAAAAAACATTCCAAGTTTTTCCCTGGCTTTCCCAGGATAATGTGGGAATGAGGAGCGTGTCCCACCTTGGCTGAGGTGATGTGGAAAATTGGGAATCTCCCTCACGTGACTTTGGGAAGGATTTCTCTCCCTTTTTCCAAGCTCAAGACAGAACAAGTGCTCAGAGCATGGAAAAACCGGAATTTCCGTGTGGGAGGGATGAATCCCGCAAGGTGCAGGCACAAAACCCCATTAGGATGTCAGGGAATCCCACAAAAAAGCTCGGAGCGGGATGATCTGGAGCATCCCTGTAGGATGCCAGACCCCTTTTTGGGATTTCCCCATTTTCCCAATCCTTTTCCTGCCGCTCTCCTGCATCCCTCGGGATGGCATCCCTTGCTGGTGGCCATGGCAACGCAAATCCGTGCGGGAAAAGGGAGGAATCTGGAATATTATTCATGAGGAATGAGGGAGAGCTCGGAGCTGACCCTCTGGAAGCTGCTCCTGCCCGGAGCAGGGCGGAAAAGGCCCCTCCTTGGCATTCCCACTGGGAAAACGTTCCTGATTTATTATTGAAAAGGGGGAATATTCCCTTTTTTGTTGTTGTTGAGTTTAATTAGGAGGAAAATCTTCCTGGAGGAATCCTTGGTGATCCCAACCCTGCTCCCATCCCTTTTCCCACCCCGCTGGTTCAGCTTTTCCAGAGTCTCTGGGGTCGGGGTTTGGGAAAGGGGAGCAGCAAAGCCTGGCTTTAAACATGGAATTTTAATGGAATTGTCGCATTCCCAGGAGGAGGACGGTGCTAATTCCCTGCTCCCGAGGGAATTCTGCACCATCAGCTCCAGCTCCAAATTCCCGGAGGCTGCGGGGAGCTCCAAGCCTCCTCCTTCCCGCTGCTCCATCCCATCCCTGGCTGCTCTGGAATTACCCCCAGCCCAAAAATCCCATTCCAAATTCCTGGAGGCTGCAGGGAGCTCCAAACCTTCTCCCGTGCTCTT